TGATTTTCTAAGAAGCGCATATCTAAAAGACCATCGCAGACTCTTTTGTTAAACGTTATCACTGACAATCGTGCCTAGTAATGTTTGTGATCTTTACACTAATAATGATGTACAGCTGTTTGAAAAGGGAACGAAATTCGGCGGGTGTTTGAACCCACTATGCATTAAAACGGAATCAAACTTGCCAAATATAGTGTGTTGTGTCAGAGGTGAGGTGAGGTGAATTGGAGTTAACGTCGCGTCCAAGATTATTGCACCTATATAGCGACGTGGTTGTGTCAGAGACCATATGGTCTCTGGTTGTGTACGAAGTTAGATTTTGGTTGGTTGGTTTGTTTTTTAACGCTGCACTCAGCAATATTCCAGCTATATGACGGTGGTCTGTAAATAATTGAGTCTGGACCAGACAATCCAGTGATTAATATCATGAGCATCGATCCACGCAATTGGGATCAATGACATGCATCAACCAAGTCAGCGAGCCTGACCACCCGATCCCGTTAGTCGTCTTTTACGACAAGCATAGTCACCTTTTACGGCAAGCGTGGGTTGCTGAAGACCTATTCTACCCCGGAATCTTCACGGATCGTACACAGTTAGAAGAGTGTACCATCTGTTAATACATTTTCAGTCTGTATCAACATATCAAATTATTTTCGGTTATCCACGCATTTAAAGATTTTACTTTTGTCTATTTCAATGAATTCTACCAGTGTTCACGGGCGTTTCATGCGTCGTGCGTGCTAAGAAGGGGCGTTTAGTAGTTACCATGAAGAAGAAATCCCAGCACAGCGAAACCCAGTTAACTCGAATTCCATGCGATAACGATAAGCCGATGCATGTTTAAAGACGATGTGAAGTTATGGTCGTGGTACACGCCTTACAGGCACAAACATCTCGCTTGTCTCGAACTTGGTATAACAAAACTACTACATAATCACATGACCTTCGAGTTGTACTGCATGGCATTGATTTATCGGAATATGTATGCGTTGCTTAACTTTGTATATAAGTGATTGATTGAGTGGGGTCAGCGATATAAAGTTAACGGCAGCCTATATGATCGAGTGAGTGAGTGAGTGAGTGAGTATGGTTTTACGCCGCTTTTAGCAATATTCCAGCAATATCACGGCGGGGGACACCAGAAATGGGCTTCACACATTGTACCCATGTCGGGAATCGAACCCGGGTCTTCGGCGTGACGAGCGATCGCTTTAACCACTAGGCTACCCGACCGCCCCTTTATTTGATCGAACCTGAAGGCGACTAGTAAGTGGGAACAGCGATCCTGGCCGTCGGTATTACCGAAACACAATGATGCAGGTTAGATCTTGTAACCCCTGATCCTCATTTATATGTAATGGGCTCTTGTGACTAGCACGGGGTGCTGTGGACTTTTAGATAGATATGTATCGTCAATGTATGACCAGTCATCCGATCCCCTTAACTGTCGGTTCTTCAGCAAGCATGAGTTATAGTGGCAATCTGTTCTGCGCAGAGATACACAATTCGTTTACTCACTGAGGCTATTGAAGCATATCTGACGTTTCAGTAATTTGACTTGAACGGAGCCATTTATCAAAACGATCTTTGGTGTAGGAAAACGACCCAAGTGCGAGCTCATTTATGCACAATGTCAATACAATTTGGAATAAGATCGTTTTATACTTACGAACAGCGAGTCAGCTAAGGAATGCGTGGATCACCTCAGTGTAGAAGTAACTCTATACAGTCGCATGATATACTCCATAACAATCTGACTGTGGAAACACTGTTACCATAGTCTGTAGCTACACTCTAAATCTATGTGTTCTAATATAGAACACTGGACGCGTCCATACGTTCTGCCACAGAATACGAATGTTCTAATTCGTGCAGCACGTGTGCTATTGCTGAACGCCTGTGATCTGATGTAGAACGCGTGTGTTCTCTCCTGGGAGAAGTCCATGCACATTAGCAGAGATAATGTGCTGAATGCTGTTAGACAAATTTAAATTCGACCATCATATTTGTGTTTTCGGAATATTTATTTTTGAGAAGAAGAGAGGCTGGTAGATTGGTATGTCAAACAGAAAATGTGTATAAGAAGGGTTATATTTTGAGTTTGATGAATAATAAATAGTTTATAAACATGGCATACTTTGTGTTAATAATAACTCATATGTAGCCTGAATAAATACAACAAGAAACATTACTGAAATACAACTCATTGCTAATACATGGAAATAACTTGCTTGCATTGGGGACATTTACGTGTATCAGAACACTGGCATTCTGATGGCTAATTTTAGCTGGATCTTTAATGGGTGCTCTGGAACATATACGGTCTATTTGCTGAACGCCTGCGTTCTCTCCTAGAACGCGTGTGTTCTGCTGTGTTCTATAATGTTATATGCGAGAACACGTGTTCCATTAATAGAACATCGGTGTTCTGTTTTTCTAACAAGCATTCAAAGCTGTCCATGCTCTGTGATTCACATCCGTTATGTGAGAAACTGGCGTGACGTCGCATGTATTTGGCGCTACAATTTCCTATGATCTGAGGTGTGTCTGTGGTAAGTATCCATCTAGGAATACTTTTGTTTCATATTTAATACGTACCTAAAATAATGTAATATTTCGGCGATATATTCATATGCTGATCCCAACGAAGTATAACCGGCCCCTTACAAAACGCATAGCAGACGACATATTACTCGCCATTTTGACCGTCATTTCTGCCATTGTTCCACACGCTTTATTTATAAATTATGAGATGAAATTCCAATCCAAATTGCAAGTGTCACTATTTAAACGTTTCCGTTTATTTGAATGATGTTCAAATAAAATGAATATATATTTCAGGTTCTATATGAATCGCCTGAAAGTGCGAAGCGGGCTACATGCAACAAATCTCTGAACATCTAAATTTGGGACCCGAGGGCATGATCAGCAAGCATCGACAATGCATCGAAATCAGCAGAGAGTAGTGTAAGTATGTAATGAACAAAAAGAACTAAACCTTCACAGGACATGTTTTTGGCTATTTTATGTGAAATATTTTAGAGAATCAGTCTTGTTGTTTCTATTTCAGGGTGCATTGCAGATAATCAGTACCATCCATGGAAACTATTGCACAGGGCACACGTCTACACAAAGGAGGAAAAGACACAAGGTTTTGCAGATCAAATAAGAAGGTACTTGTGTATATTTTGCTCTAACCTTTATCCAAGTAAGTGGTAACTTTGTTAGTCAAATGACATTTTTGGCAAAACATTTTGCAACCTATAAATAATGAAACAAATGTCACGGTAATCTTGGGTTTACTAACGAACATTTGTTAGAATGTCCTATGTAATATGTACGAGTTTGATAACTATATGACTATGATCAAATAAATGTTTTGTGTTGTAGGATGTTGGGGAGTCATATTTGACATGAAGTTTCCTGAAGCCTGCGATGGTCATGTCGCTGTTACGAACATCGTCCTTTGGGGATATTTACCCACAAGAAACATCTGCGAAGTACATGCGCTTCGTGAAAGACTTGAGTATGGAAGTATGCTTCAATTTGCTACACGACAGTTTGTAATGTTTCATGAAGAACTCTGACTCATAAGTGACTTGAATATCCATGATCATCCCAAACAAATATAATAAAGAATTCATGGTTGCAGTTCAGAATTTCGTCCGTGTGATTTTATGCCAGAGAATATGCATGGGTGTATGGTTTAAATTCTTACACCTTGAAAAACATCGGGTAAATTGTATTCGACACACATGATGAGTTGTCGTTTCAGTAATGTGGAAGTACGTGTCCGAGAACGTGTAGTGTTCTGAATCTCGGTCCAGAACACTTTACAGGCGTTCTAAAAGCGTTACATCGTCAGAACACGTTGAAGCGTTCTAAATATGTTTGTAGAACACTCCTGTTCTGGGTCGAGAACATCAACGTTCAGAATATTTTCAGAACACATGGACGCGTTCTAAAAGTGTTACATCCAAGTGTTCTGTCTAGTGTTCAGAAGTGGAACACTTGGGTTTAGAGTGTATAGAAAGTTTCATATTACATCGGAGTCCCCTACCCCGTCATCCGTCGATCATACTGGGATACCAGATTCAATAAGGATGACTGGGGTAGTCTAGTGGTTAAAGCGTTGGTACGTCCCGACGACTATACGGGTTCGATTCTCCAGATTCGTACGACATGTGGTCTAACGCAGAAGGCGGTGTGCAGTACCTTAACCACTGAAATGTTAACCACTAAATCAGTTAATGTATGGACCTTAAGGTAAACGTGGTTTACCGTTGCGTTTATGGGACCTGTAAGCATAACGTCTTAAATGCAATCTACTAAATATATCGTCAACTGAAAAAATCCCGAATTAAACAAAATATCTGCATGTCGTATTTTACCTAAAAATCCAACTACAACTAAACCAGTGGCACAGTGGTTGGAGCCACACTGCCATTTTCGTTTTGTTAAAACGCCCGCCCTGTGAACAAGGTGCTGTAATCCAGAGTGTTTTTCGTCGGATTGAAACATACACAACTTCGACTTTCCATTTCATACGAATTACTGAACAGGTTATTTGTATAGTATGTTTCTGTGTCCCATTTCCGATGCTAGAACAGACTGGGGATCAGATAGCCTATGGTATGGGTAGTTGCTCAGGCAATCGACCATTGTAAATAATCCAATCTGGACCAGACAAACATGTGATTGCTATTATGGGCGACCTTCCACGCTGTCGGGGTGCGATTACATGTAGTCGGCGAAGTCGCGGTGCTTGAGATCTTTAGTTTGCGCAGGGGACCTATTCTAACGTGGAATTACACGGGCCTACAATCAATAATTTGAAGCAAATTTTACGTTTCTCATGGGTATACACAGATTAGTGTCACTGGTACTGACATTATATTTCATGGATTGTATAAACTATAGTGAAACCCCGTTCGTCCAGAATCCGTTAGCAGGGACCCCGTTAGTCTGTAACTCAATGTCTTGTCAGTCATAATCACCTTATTCGCAGCTCGCCAGTCAAGATCCAATTCTTCTCAAGTCGCTAGTTGTACCTTGCCAGTCATGAGCCGCTTGTCATGTTCCGCCAGTCATGATCCCGTTAGTACATAACTCACTACTATATGTATCCCATTAGTCCGTAACTCTTTAGTCTGGATCTGGACATGGGTAGACACGGATTTATGTCCCTGGTACTGAGATGATATTTCATGGATTTGATAAACTAGAGTGAAACCCGTAGCACGGATACCATGAGCCCACCAAATCAGTGGGCTCCAAGTGACTCCGCTTTGTTACGAGAGAGTAAAGCAGTCATACCTCATGCACTTAACAGTTACGTTCCTAGACAAGCGACAAGACTTCTGTATGGTTAACCAGTACGGGATATTGAAGCACTTTTGCGACGCTATTGCTCTCGTATTGCCACTTCACTGTACAGCATATGTTTACTTGTTTAACACATGCTCGGCGTGTGTAGCTGAAAACAGGTTTGGTATTGTGTTTAGATTTGCTTGTTTGATGTTTAACGCCACACTCAGCAATATTCCAGCTATATGACGGCGGTCTGTAAATAATCGAATCTGGACAAAACAATCCAGTGATTGACATCATGAGCATCGATCCATGCAATTGGGATACGATGACTTGCAACCACCTGAGCCTCTTATGACAAGCAAGCATTGGTTGCTGAGGACCTATTCTCTGCCCGGATCTCCACGGGTCTATTGTGTTTAGAATTTAAAAATGCATATGCAGAAATTCTAAATATGGTTTAACTTCAAAATATACACAGTTTACAGTGTATAGCAATAGTGTTGCTCTAGTAGGATGTCTAGAACCTTTGCTCTCCCACAATGTCGCGTCCCCGGCTGTCCATGACTACTGTCAATGTTCAAAATGTCCACCGCTTCCTACATCGTGCGGATTACTAAAGACCGGTAAGGGAGTTCGAGGACTTTTAATCTGATAGTCTGATGTAAAGTCATGAAAAGGCCTCAACACAAGGAGTATTTTGGACAAAGACAAATAAGAAACTGCATTACAAAACTTCACTCGGTATAATTATGAAATCACAAGATTTGTTACAAACAATATTTCCCAGAGTAACACACGATTAGTATGTCATTGGTAGTGCACTTTAATATGAACCTAAGTTTCCAACTCACCTTTTTATTTCCTCTCGAACTCAGTGCCACATCTCCACCAAGCGTCGTTGATGGTAGTATCAAGCGTATTAATGACTATCTGCTCTCTGGGCCGATCCACTGTAGCATACGGGGGACGCTAGTTTTCTGGGTGTAATAGAAGAGTAGCTTATCACACCAACCTCATTACGCCCGTATGGCCACACTGTATGCCATTCAGTCATAAATCCCGGCACTTGATCACAATAACATACACTATAGGATTTGCCCTGTCAAATAACATTCAGTCAGTCCCCATTCACGCTTGAAAAGCTCGGACTTACAAAGATCCCCTGCAGACAGCCAATCTATAGGTAATAAATATACCGTTTACCGTTCTTTAAACATTGTGTTATCAAGGAAAATCTTATTCTGGGGTTAATCCTAGTTTGTGAATCCTATTTATCCTATGAAAAAAAATCAGTGGGTGTCCAGATGTATATAAATAGTCTTCATCACTAGCCTGTGTAGTTAACACCACTCAAGGGAGTTTGGTGTAAATAATGCATTTATTAAGTATGAAGGGGAGATAAGCACCGTTTTTGTGTATTTACAGTCCGATAAATCTTCGACTTCAGGTTGATTCCGATACAGGTAGACGTATCTATTAAACTGTCACGTGACTTCAATTCGACCAAGACACTGTTATTGATCATAATTGATTATTTATGATTTGTAGTATCACATGACTTACCTCAGGTTATGAGATGGTTTCGTGGCAAGTCAAGCCAACACAAATAACGGAGTTCGTTTCACTCTAATTAATTCATATTTATAATTATAGTATTATGCATTAAATTACACCACTGTTGCCTCTTCGCTTCTTTGGGTGTCGGAACGTAGTTAAATTTCCAAACATATTTATTTGATGTGACAAAGCCTGCTCATAAAGTAAAGTATTAGCGACATATGTAAATCTACGAATTGACGCGCCAATGTAGTACACCATCCGCACAAACAACAGTAGCGGTGTTATGTTAATAAATATTCTGATCTTCCCTTGGTAGGATTAACTGCAAATGAAAATTGATAATCTTTAAAGATGTCTTCAGATGTGTTAATTGTTTTGAATCATGTAGAGTAAGTAAAATCAAAATTATGGCTCATCATCAAAATTGTTCAGTAAACCAGTTGCGTTCTGTGACGTAAAACAATAGTGTTCTCTGACGTAAAACAATACCGTTCTGTGAGGTGAACTAGTAGCGTTCTGTGACATAAAACTATAGTGTTCTGTGAAGTGAAATATTAGTGTTCTAGACTATAAAACAATGCAAACCTTTGCAGTAAAACAGTAGCATTCTTTGCAGTAAACTAGTAACGTACTGTGAGATATTGTTTGTTTGTTTTTTCACGGCCCATTCATCAATATTCCAGGTTTATGACGGTGGTCTGTAAATAATCGAGTCTGGACTAGACAATCCAGAGATTGACATCATGAGCATCGATCCACGCAATTGGGATACGACATGCATCAGTCAAGTCAGCGAGCCTGACCACCCGATCCCGTTAGTAGCCTCTTACGACAAGCATAGTCACCTTTTACGACACAGTATTGTTCTGTGCAGTAAAACAGAAGCCTTCTATACAGTAAAATGTTTACATTCTATACAATGAAACAGCAGCGTTCTTACAATAAAACAGCAGCGTTCTATACAACAAAACAGAAGCCTTCTATACAGTACAACAGTTGCGTTCCATACAGTAAAACAGCAGCGTTCTGAGCACTACAACAGTAGCATTCTACACAGTAATACAGTAGCCTTATGTTCGGCATACAGTAGCGTTCTATACAGTAAAACAGCTGCGTTCTTACAACAAAACAGCAGCGTTCTATACAACAAAACAGTAGCATTCTATACAATAAAACAGAAGCCTTATATACAGGAAAACAGCAGCGTTCTGAGTACTACAACAGTAGCATTCTACACAGTAATACAGTAGCCTTATGTTCGGCGTACAGTAGCGTTCTATACAGTAAAACAGCTGCGTTCTTACAACAAAACAGTAGCATTCTATACAATAAAACAGAAGCCTTCTATACAGTAACAGTCGCGTTCCATACAGTAAAACAGTAGCATTCTATACAGTAAAACATTAGCATGCTATATAGTAAAACAGAAGCATTCTATACAATAAAACAGTAGCCTCCTGTGCAGTAAAACAGCAGTGTTCTAGACGGTTTTTGTTGTAAATAAACGCAATGTGGCCAATCAGAGACTGATCATGGCTCCTCAAAACAGCCATAGTTTAACATATTTATTCAACAACAAAAGTTCCTGTGTAAAGTATTGAAACAGTCTTTACCCAATTATTGTGACATATAAAGAGTGAAGATCTGAATTGAAAAAAATCTCAGACGTAAATGCAATGAGCAACATCTGGATGTATTGCATTGTGTTGTGAGGTTAAAGCATGAAGGGTCCTAACCAGCCATCACAAACAGGGCTTGTGGATGTGGCATGACAGACAGACAGGGCAGGGCAGGGCAGGGCAGGGCAGTTTAAATGCGTAAGTCTGTATTCGGAATTGATTTATTTTAATGAACACATGCATTGCGAGTTGTTTTAATCCAAATTCAAACAATTGCAGAAATATGAAATAATAACTTCCCTTACAGAGCATGTCCACCACAGTTGCATGCTAAGATCGCTGTGCTGACCTCATGACACCCAAGGTTTACATGAATATAGTGTCAGGAATTTGTAACTGTACATGAAATATCAATTCAAATAATCCGTGTATGCCTCCTATAAGGTGAAAGGCGTTCTCAGCCTTGTAATATGAAAAATAATATGGTATAGATATGATATGATTCCCTGTGTTAAAGCACAGTGATCATGTAGGTCGACATGTACACAGAGAACAGTACAATTTGTGGATGATTACCCAGAAGTGTTGATGGATGTGCCAGTGTCTATAATGTACACATACCTGCCTAAAATTGAAAATGAAAACAGAAAGCTGTGAGTTCAGTTTTAGGCTGCTTTGAACAATATATCACCCATATCAGATGTGGAAGTGATGAATGTCCCACATCTTTACAACTTTAGAGAAACCATATAGTGCATGGATTCTGAAGAACCAAGAATCATAGTCATGGTGAATCAAGGATTCAAACACATGATCACAGGATCCTGGCATGTCTAAGGGCCGCAACTATACACAGCGAATTGTCGATATCAGGTGAAAGTATGTTACAGTCTATGTTAGAGGCATATTTTATTTTACCTTGTGCCACTATATATTTTTCTGTTAAAAGTGTAGCATTCCCAGCAGTAATGGTCCAGAAGGTGGGGTTTCCAGATTAACAAGGTCTGGGTTAATAAGGTTTACCTGCATTCATCCTTGGGCCACCAGATAATCCTGGTTTCAACATTGATGTATTACAAATATGCTTCAAATTCCAATCTCCTTTTAATGATGAAATGAACCACTGAAAACTTGAGTTGGCATCTTAAGGACACTGTGAACATTACTTTGGATGTGTCACTGGAATGATGGTTCTGACTTTGTTGAAACCAGCGAGTGCATGTATGCTGCTGTCAGACGAAGGATCACAATCGGCACGAATCTGGGATTTGAACCCATGGCACAACAGATCCTGCCACAGCTAAGGGATACAACTCTACACAGCTAGTTGCTGCCCTTCAGGCTAATAAATCATCATTTCCACTGAAAAGAAAATACACATCAGTAGGGTTAATTTGTTACAAAATCCCTCCAGCAGACTTTGACATTAGTTCTGTGAAGGTAGAATCAGCAATATGAGGGTATGGGTACTTGCAACACTTCTATTATAGTTGTAGTTTGTGTGTTTGTTGTTTAAATCCTCATTAATATTCATGCTATCCAAACATATCAGTGGGGTACAAGGACTGGGAACCATCCAACACAGAGAGTACAAGGACTGCCTACCATCCAAGCCACTACGCCACACAGTGGGGTACGAGGACTGGCCACCATCCCAGCCACTACGCCACACAGTGGGGTACAAGGACTTGCCACCATCCAAGCCACCGTCCCACACACTGGGGTACAAGGACTGCCACCATCCCAGCCACTACGCCACACAGTGGGGTACGAGGACTGGCCACCATCCCAGCCACTACGCCACACAGTGGGGTACAAGGACTTGCCACCATCCAAGCCACCGTCCCACACACTGGGGTACAAGGACTGGCCACCATCCAAGCCACCGTCCCACACACTGGGGTACAAGGACTGGCCACCATCCAAGCCACCGTCCCACACACTGGGGTACAAGGACTGCCACCATCCCAGCCACTACGCCACACAGTGGGGTACAAGGACTTGCCACAATCCCAGCCACCGTCCCACACACTGGGGAACAAGGACTGGCCACCATCCAAGCCACCGTCCCACACGGTGGGGTACAAGGACTGGCCACCATCCCAGCCTCCATCCCACACGGTGGGGTACAAGGACTGGCCACAATCCCAGCCTCCATCCCACACGGTGGGGTACAAGGACTGGCCACAATCCCAGCCAACGTCCCACACAGTGGGGTACAAGGACTGGCAACCATCCCAGCCTCCATCCCACACGGTGGGGTACAAGGACTGGCCACAATCCCAGCCTCCATCCCACACGGTGGGGTACAAGGACTGGCCACAATCCCAGCCAACGTCCCACACGGTGGGGTACAAGGACTGGCCACCATCCCAGCCTCCATCCCACACAGTGGATCACAAGGACTGGCCACAATCCCAGCCAACGTCCCACACGGTGGGGTACAAGGACTGGCCACCATCCCAGCCTCCATCCCACACGGTGGGGTACAAGGACTGGCCACAATCCCAGCCTCCATCCCACACGGTGGGGTACAAGGACTGGCCACAATCCCAGCCAACGTCCCACACGGTGGGGTACAAGGACTCTACATCCCAGCCACCGTCCTAGCAGTGGGGTACAAGGACTGGCCACCATCCAAACCAGCGTGCCATGCAGTCGAGTACAAGGACTGGCCACCATCCAAGCCAGCGTCCCACACACTGGGGTACAAGGACTGGCCACCATCCCAGCCTCCATCCCACACAGTGGGGTACAAGGACTGGCCACCATCCCAGCTACCGTGCAACACAGTGGGGTACAAGGACTGGCCACCATCCCAGCTACCGTGCAACACAGTGGGGTACAAGGACTGGCCACCATCCCAGCTACCGTGCAACACAGTGGGGTACAAGGACTGGCCACCATCCCAGCTACCGTGCCATACAGTGGGGTACAAGGACTGGCCACTATCCCAGCCACTCTGCCTCACAGTGGGGTACAAGGACTGGCCACCATCCCAGCTACCGTGCAACACAGTGAGGTACAAGGACTGGCTACCATCCAAGTCACCATCCCACAGTGGGGTACAAGGACTGGCCACAATCCCAGCCACCGTCCCACACGGTGGGGTACAAGGACTGTCTACATCCCAGCCACCGTCCTAGCAGTGGGGTACAAGGTCTGGCCACAATCCCAGCCAACGTCCCACACGGTGGGGTACAAGGACTCTACATCCCAGCCACCGTCCTAGCAGTGGGGTACAAGGATTGGCCATCATCCAAACCAGCGTGCCATGCAGTCGAGTACAAGGACTGGCCACCATCCAAGCCACCGTCCTAGCAGTGGGGTACAAGGATTGGCCACCATCCAAACCACTGTGCCATGCAGTCGAGTACAAGGACTGGCCACCAACCAAGTCACCATACTAGCAGTGGATCAAAGAATGGCCACCATCTAAGCCACCATGGCACACAGTGGGGTACAAGGACTGGCCACAATCCAAGCCACCATACTAGCAGTGGATCACAAGGACTGGCCACCATCCAAACCACCGTGCCATGCAGTCGAGTACAAGGACTGGCCACCAACCAAGTCACCATACTAGCAGTGGATCACAAAGAATGGCCACCATCTAAGCCACCGTGGCACACAGTGGGGTACAAAGACTGCCCACATCCCAGCCACTACGCCACACAGTGGGGTACAAAGACTGGCCACCATCCCACATGTTGGGGTACAAGGACTGGCCACCATCCCAGCCACTACGCCACACAGTGGGGTACAAGGACTGTCTACATCCCAGCCACCGTCCTAGCAGTGGGGTACAAGGACTGGCCACCATTTAAACCAGCGTGCCATGCAGTCGAGTACAAGGACTGGCCACCATCCCAGCCTCCATCCCACACAGTGGGGTACAAGGACTGGCCACCATCCCAGCTACCGTGCCATACAGTGGGGTACAAGGACTCTACATCCCAGCTACCGTGCCACACAGTGGGGTACAAGGACTGGCCACCATCCCAGCCTCCATCCCACACAGTGGGGTACAAGGACTGGCCACCATCCCAGCTACCGTGCCATACAGTGGGGTACAAGGACTCTACATCCCAGCTACCGTGCCATACAGTGGGGTACAAGGACTGGCCACCATCCCAGCTACCGTGCCACACAGTGGGGTACAAGGACTGGCCACCATCCCAGCCTCCATCCCACACAGTGGGGTACAAGGACTGGCCACCATCCCAGCTACCGTGCCATACAGTGGGGTACAAGGACTCTACATCCCAGCTACCGTGCCATACAGTGGGGTACAAGGACTGGCCACCATCCCAGCTACCGTGCCACACAGTGGGGTACAAGGACTCTACATCCCAGCTACCGTGCCACACAGTGGGGTACAAGGACTGGCCACCATCCCAGCTACCGTGCCACACAGTGGGGTACAAGGACTGGCCACCATCCCAGCTACCGTGCCACACAGTGGGGTACAAGGACTGGCCACCATCCCACACAGTGGAGCACAAGGACTGGTCACCATCCAAGCCACCATGCCATGCAGTGGAGCACAAGGACTCTCCATACTCTTTATTCAGCTCTGATTACAACGTGGCACATTTGGGGACCTAGTCTGACCTGGAGTCACCAAGGGGTTCATTTCTGGTTCAGGATAAACATTGGGAGACAGGGTAGTATTACTGTCTCTACAACTCTCTATGTTACAAGTATTGGGACATCACGGAATAATAACAATAATCATTGTTGTTATAGTAACATCATGTTTAATCATGAGCAGTTACATCAGTTACTTTTTCATATAAAATTAAAATAAAGTGAAATAATATTCCAATCATTCTGAAAGAAACATCAAAGAATCAAACAAATTCTACGAGAGTACTCCAGTAAAACAACATAACAATAACAAGTTGAAGGGAAACATGTCAGTAAAGTTACATTGGTCTTGGTAACATTTTAAAAAATCAACATTGGAATAAAACTAAAGCCCGGCTTTTGTGATACATGTATATAACATGGCTTTTAACTGCTAGTTCACCGAAATGATAGGCTTAATTTCCAAAGTCTAGTTTTGACCAACAATAGCCCTCGTTACTAGTTTCCTAAGACTATTTTTAGAACATACAGGCCTTGACACCATTTGTTTCTAGGCTAAACATAAAAATCACAAATTGACCTTACAAATATGAAAAAAATAATCTAAAAAGCACCATGTTTTTGTTTTGCTGATTATAAACTTGAATGATCATTACAAAGATAATTAGCACATTAGTTTAACTGCAAGACAGCAGGTTACAAAAGGTTAAATGTTAAGACAAAACTAACTAACACTGCACACATTGCATAATGTTCCGATAACTTATTGAAGGAAAAAGAGATCTTTGAATTATAAACCAAAGAAATAAGAAATAACAAGATTGATGAGACAGCAGGGACAAAATACTCCCTTTGCAATGTATATGTTTCTTAAAGGGACAGGACGTTGACTGTTCTGAAGCTTTGTTTCCAAACAATAGCCAAACCCCCCCGAGCTTACTCATCTCTCCTCTCCTTATTCCCTTTCTGCTTCAGTTACCACAACGCCGGTGTAAGCTTATCACGTGAAAGGACTTTTCTCTAGTTTATAAACAAACGCACTTATTATGAAATAAGAATGTACAGGCCTAATGCAAGCCTAATATTGTTTTGCATAATTACATAGACACACTACTACAGCTGAGACAGTGAGGTGAATAACAATATAGCTTTGCACATAAAAATGACCGTATTGCTAGCTCCCTGTATGGCTTCGATGGTGTGGAGCATAAATATGTAAATGGAAATAGTTTTTCACGTTTTAGGATATTATCTCAATAAAAGTTATACATTTGATGACATGTTTGTCTAAATGTGTACAGTGTAGACCTGTCTGAAACAGATGAAACACACATGAATGGACTGTGCAACATGTGACAATGTGACAGAGGTAATCGGCTGGCTGCAAGGAACCCTGGGTAGGAGAGTGATTGGCTTCATATGATCGAGGCATATCTATAATGTAATCTAGGCTTTGGCAAACACTGGCTTCTAATTTAATCAAGCTGGCAAACACACAAGCTTTCTCTTCAACATGCCTCTATTATGAAACAAGACTGAAGCCAGTCCACTGTGTTGTTCACTTTTCGGAGATATATCATTTGGGTTTGAGAATTGAATTAGGCATTTAACGTCACACATGGAAATTATTTCATGCATATTTAAAAACACACACAATCGTCGCCGTACTGTCCCTTTAAGTAAATAACTCATAATCACTGTCATCCACAAAAGTTAACAGACATATGGACAACGGAGAAACACTTGGCCTTGGCTCATTTCAATTTCAAACCAGAGTGAGTAGGAATTTATGTTGCTTTTAGCAATATTCCAGCAATATCATGACACAGAACACCAGACAAGGCTTCACACTGTTAATGGGAATGAAACACAACACTTCGGTGACAAACGAATGCTTTAACCACCTTAATGACCCCATAATGTTTATATGGCTAAAGTTGTAAGACTTGTAAAAAATATTACAGTGGCAAAAGGCTGTAAACAGTTTCATGAACATGATGAAAGACAATCTTGGAATTCAATAAACATCCAGGACTTGCTTAGTACATTAGTCCCAGGTTTCCTCTGTTTCTTTCAATACCGTGACAACATCGTGTGAATCCCCTCCCTGTTCCTCCCCCCATGACCTGTCAAGGTCACCCTCACTGTCGTCATGAGGCACAAACACATTCTTCCCATCATCGCTGAGGGTGTAACAGGAACGGAGATAGGACCTGCAAAAAAGGAACAATCTTAAGGTTCTTCAGTGAGGTAACAAGGCTGACATTGTAACACTGTCCATGTGATCCATCTTCTGGAGGCAAGGCCATTAACTGACCAGTTTCCCTTGCCTAACTAGGCTGGAATTACTGGGCTTGATCATAGCACCACCAGTGGCTATTACGAGTTATGTCCCTTCTATGTCCTTCCTATTGACCAATGAGACTCCACCTCTCACATCACTACATCGCGAAGTGCATCAAATCACCTGAGCACCTTGATTAAAACATGAAATGATTTGGAAAATATCAGTTGACGCCGAATTGGTGGTGCGCATGCTTTGCAAATTCTGCAAATTCTGCATGGCAGTTTACGAACCGGATGTCAACTTTGTTGCAAGATTTTGATTGGTCTATGCATAGACTCATTAGTCCAGGCAAAAAATTACTCCATAATGCCAGCCTAGTTTGGCAAGGGTGGAAACTGGACTTTTATGTCAGATAACTCCTTTGCCTCGGGAAGATGATGTGATCATGTTTTGCTTAAGTTAAATGATAAAGTATAATGGGTTTTACACCACTAACACAAACAGTATGTTATTATTACCAAGGTGTGTCAGCTTCATGTGGGAGGAGAGCCCATAGTGACTCAGGTTGTAGATGTTTACCACAAGAATGGGTAAAGCGGGTATCAAATATATGGTACTGACTAACCAAGGATCATAATCAGGGCAAATCTGGGATTTGAACCCACAGCCAGAAGACCCTGAGAGATCCAAGGGTGACCACAGTGGCACCTGTACCCCAAATTACTTGAGCAAGCACAGGCACATATCACCATGTGTAAAGAACAAACATCTAGTGTGTGTTTTATACAGTGAAAATCTAGGTGCAAGGAAACTTCCCACCTTCCAGGAAGATAAGCCATGGCCACCCAAGAGAATTCACCAGGACATTATGAACTTAGGCTTAAAAGAATAAAAGAAATGGTTCTCAGGCAATGACTTTTGAAAATATAGTGCGCACGGTAGGTCTTTTTTTTTGCTTGTTCAAACTAGTACGTAACCAAATAAGCAGTTGTGTACCTAAAACCTGGTAAAGGGCCCCAAACATTAACAAGCATGAAAAATCCTATTGCCACCGTGACCATAACACAAGATGTGCAGTAAAGCAGTGTGCATGTAAAGGGAAGTAACTGTGTGCTATATTGGATGGCATTGTTTTTAAGTTTTAGGATTTTATATTTTCTTTTAAAATGGAAATGAATAAAAACGAAACATGCAGCAGACTTTATGATGAAGCGGGCAGTGCCTGAGAACCAAGACTGTTATTTTTTTAGCCTTCAGTTGTTGTTCTCCATAAACAATTCATTTATTAGGTTGGTCTACTAACATTAGGGTGCATTTTAGACTAAGAATCGGCACTGGCATCTATTCCATGATTTACAGTAGAGGATGGATGTTTCAAACAAAAGTCTGTACCTGAGCTTGTCAATATCACAGATATTTTTGATTGGCCGAAAAGAGAACAACTTCTCCACAGCTATCACAGAGTGACCTTCATCCTCATCAAGCTCAGCGTTCAGGGTCAGCTGACGAATGTGGTACTGTACTTCCAATGCCAGTCTGTCCTCAACAGTGGACTTGTTCTCCTTGTAGGGATAATCACATTGAGCAATCTTGGGAACAAAGCAAAAACATTTGCAACATCATAGACTTTGTCGACACATCATGGCTTTGTATTCGTGAATACTTGTAGCAGCTATGTGGTGTAGTGTCACCAGATCAATAAAGTCGCCTTTTATGACCAGCACAGATTGCTAGGGACCAATTCTAACCCAGAATCCCAACTGGTTCCCATGTTAGTCACCTTTTACTAACAAAAATATATTACAGTTTAAGAACTGGAAAATTAGAGCACCAACATGACCAAAGCTATGAAGTTCACATGAAATTTAAAACTATTTACATCAGATCATAAAGGTCATATATACATAAGGCTTAAAAAAGATAATAGTCTTGGTTCTCCGGCACCACCCGCATCATCATAAAGTCTGCGGCCCGTTTTGTTTTTATTTCCATTTTTGAAAAAATACAAAAATATACTTTAACACAATGCACAAAAAGAAATTGGCAATGGAAACAAAAATGAAACGTGCAATTAGATTTATGATGATCTGGGCAGTGCCTGAGAACCAAGACTATTATTTATTTAGCCTTATCACTGCTTATACAAGGTTTAACAAGGCAACACAAAAGGTAACAGAAGTTTCTACACAACACACATATTGCCATGTACACTGAATTACATGTTGATACATCAATAATGGTAAGTCAAGGGCCAAATATTTAATACATCAGCCATACTGGCACATGAGTCAAAGGTCAAAATACACAACAAACCACATTACAATCATAGCCAACAAACCATACTGCACATCAAATGTCATCCTACTTGTACTGCAGGGGAAAGTCATGGTAAAGACAACATTTTCAAAATGGCAAATTGGAATATTGTGAGCAGCTTTGCTGGGATCATCCCAAGAATATTTCAACATCAAAGGTGTTGAGGTTTCAGCATGTTCAAGGGGAGGATGAAATACCTTCAGAAGGTTCATGTCAATATCCACCTACCAGGGTGTAGCAGGGAGTACCGGCTGGGTGCGCACTGCGTGCCTGCTGTGTCCTGGTGAAGATGGCGGCCTGGGAACAGTGGCCGACATGGGCAGAGCTCTCAGGGGGGGTGCCAACACCATCATATGACACACTGTAGAGGTACTTATCACAGATATCTTCACACCTGCTCACAGAACAGACATGACCCATAGTAGGATGCTTTACATTTTGAGGGAAGGAATGCAAGCGAGAGAGGGTGAGTGATTTAGCTAGCTAAAATTAACACCACTTTGAACACTCTTTGAGTTATATCATAGGCCCTGCTCCACAATGCGATTTTAGAACTAAGGTGATCTTAACTCCCATACTTTACTATTGGCTTATGAAAGTTGTAGTGATGCCATGGTGTTCCAAAGTGAACAATGTCCAAGACAGTTACCACCTTGGTGAAACATAGACAGGTATGGTGCTAACAAAGTGTTTGATTGCAAATATGCTCATATCGAACATTTTGTTTACTTCATCTTAGTAACAGCTATTGTTTCAGTCGGTTTGGGGGAAAATGAACCTCCAAGTCATACAATAGAAACATATAGGGCAAACACTAGTCATGTTAAGTCATGTTAAGTCATGTTTAACTATAACTGATAATATTTAACTTTTCAAAGTTTTCTAACAACCTGAAATGTTCATCTGTATGAAAACATAATTTCTGTATGTTAGTGTGGCCATTTTTCAGCAAATCTACAAAAACGTCAGCATTTATGTATTTGCCTCAATTTCTAAGGTGCAGCAACATTCCCTTGATGACATCATACAGTGCCAGACATCACGCAACAAAGTTACAATGTAGTGATACATGTATCATCATGGTCATTGCCTGAAGAAAGCTGCCATGCTACTCTAATCTTTAGTTGTAAGTAATCATGGCAGTACACGGCCTGTCGTAAAATGAGACCTTTTTCACTTTTTGGACGGTAGATTATACCGCATATTTGAGGATTTGCGTTGTTAAAAGACTGAACATACGATAGTTCAGACACAAAAACACAAAACCATACCAGCAGACATCCTTGATGTCAGTTTAAATCAAACGTGATGATGAGAATCTACTTACCATCTCTGAAACTCTTTCCTTGACCATTCAAACTTGTGATCCCAGTGTCGGAAACCAGTAAAATTTGGAAACAGTATATTGAAGTCTGCATTTGGAGTTGTCATGACAATCAGATGTGGTCCAAGGTCACCAAATACACGTTCTACGACCTTTTCAAGGTCAGACGGTACTAGGTGCTCAATACTGGAACAAAGTACAACAGGGTTTTGAGTGCAAACAAGGATATGAACCTTCCAATATGCCTAAGCAGTTTTTTACAGAAATTTGTTTACAGATTGTTTTTTTTATATAGTTGGTTGGTTTGTTGTTTAACGCCACACTCAGCAATATTCCAGCTATATGATGGCAGTCTGTAAATAATCAAATCTGGACCAGACAATCCAGTGATTAATATCATGAGCATCGATCTACGCAATTGGAATCGATGACATGCATCAAGTCAGCGAGCCTGACCATCCGATCCCGTTTGTTTTTTCTTTATATAGAAACTCAAAGTACTTTCTAGAGACACCATTGTTGGGACAAAATTAGGTTTCAATTTCAGGACAAAGGGGAAACAAAAATAAGTTTACAACCAAACACTATGAAGAATTCTTGATGATATGCCACATCAGGGTAAAAAATAAAAAAATCAACACAAAAATAAATTCATATCTTATTTCACACAACACATACTTATTGCATATGAAATTTCAGATTAACAGGTATTGTGTGGTTTCGGAAGAGATGTTTACAGTATGAGGAAATGTATTTTGAGAGAATTCAGGAGCATGGTCAACATGCAAAGGTCAAACTATTGCATGTACTGAGACCCACTACTATCTACACATATACCAAATGTCATTATATTTTCAATAAAAAAAGCTGAGTAATATCCCGTGAAAATCCAGGGTAGAGTAGGTCTTCAGCAACCCATGCTTGCCATAAAAGGCGACTATACTTGTCGTAAGAGGCGACTAACGGGATCGAGTGGTCAGGCTCGCTGACTTGGTTGATGCATGTCATCGATCCCAATTGAGTGGATCGATGTTCATGATATCAATCACTGGATTGTCTGGTCAAGACTCGATTATTTACAGACTGCTGTCATATAGCTGGAATATTGCTGAGTGCGGCGTTAAAAATCAAACAAACAAAAGAGTTTCAGCTTGCAGTATTGTTAAAGAGCAAAGGTCAAATAAAGGTCAAACTATAAAATATAAAAAAAAATGGAACATGTCCGTTGGATCCAACTACTACCCATGCTAACTACATGTGTACATGATTTCATTCCATTTTGAAAATAAATGGCTGTGTAATGTCAAAAACAGATTTTTCAGTATGCCTGCCATGGCATCAATATTGAAAATTGGATTCAAACCTCTGGAAATATTTGGGGTATCATCACTGATGGGAACAAGCATGTGATTAGTTTCATTAGTCTTTTGATTTCTGTGCAGAAGATGTTTACGCTGGACACCTCACAAACAGGTCACAACATAAGCACAGCCCAAAAATTAGCTACATCACTTTATTATTATTTGGACCAACTGAAGCTAATGATTTGTAAAAACAGTAAGACAAAGAAAGTTTGGCTCAAGTAAAGAAAGCTGCTTACAATTCTACCATGGTGACAGCCTGACAGCCCTGCAGTCTGGAGTCCAGCACTGTGGCATCCCCGTGGAATATCCTGATACACAGGGGCTTCTCCCTCCTGTGTAGGTAGTCATATATCAGGGGCTTGATACAGAGCTTTTTGGCTTCCAGGATCCGCTTGTCCATGTCCACCAGGGTGATGCTCTCCACAGAGGTAACTGTCTTCAGTAGAGTTGCTATTCCACATTCTCCACAGCCAATATCTACAACCTGTTGGCAGTGGATGAATAAGTGACTTTACTGGTCACCCCACCCTTATAACTTTCACACCACACTTGAACCTGTAACTAACACCTACCCACTTACCCGAGAGGGATGGGGACAGGCCTCGGCCCACAGTATATCGTAATGTGGAAAACGTAGACCCATTTCTGTGTAGTGAGGTCTGCCTGAGTGACAGAGACAAGCCTATAGCATATCATTAAGTGGGAACTGTTGACCCAGTTTCCTTGTAGCAAAGTTTTAGCACTTTTGGACAGCGTGAAAAATTGACGTGTCGGGCTACAGGAGTAAACATATTAGCATTCGGGAGGTAACTCTCATAGTGAGTGAGTGAGTATGGTTTTACATCGCTTATAGCAATATTCCAGCATATCATGGTGGGGGACACCAGAAATGGGCTACACACATTGTACTCATGTCAACATATTAGCATTCGGGAGGTAACTGGCATAGTGAGTGAGTGAGTATGGTTTTTCATCGCTTATAGCAATATTCCAGCATATCATGGTGGGGGACACCAGAAATGGGCTACACACATTGTACCCATGTCGGGAATCGAACCTGGGTCTTCGGCGTGATGAGTGAACCCTTTAACCACTAGGCTACCCGACCGCCCCTAACTAACTCTCACAGAGAAGTTGGGTTCATGGTTTACAATACCCTGACTCACAACATTGTGGGTTTCAATGTTAACAATATCTGCATGTCTCCACTGATCTTGTTCATTATAAAATAATATTACAACAATGCAACTATTACTTTGAAAAGATTAATTATGAAAAAAATATAAATAACATTACCCTGTAGATATATCAGTGTCAACAGTATCATCTTTACCACTATGATTGTGTCAACTCAATACCCCTTGTTCACTGAAAGTAAAAACAAATGTTTCAGGAAGTCATTGTTGTGAAGACATATTACTTGTTTTGTTTTCATAATGTTTGTTTTCTACTGTTATATTACATTAATATTTCATCAGAAATGTGTCACAGTCTCACTCCTCTTTCTGAATGTACCACATGCAATAACAATTTGTTTTACCTTCTGGGTGACATGCGCTTTATGACAGTATAGGTACAAGTTGCATCAATAGGTGGTATGCTACAAAATTTCTTTGCGCAGTGTTGATCCTATCGATCAAAGTTATCTTCTTCTTGTCATTGTTCGCAAAGAGGCCCATAGCAATGTGAGGTTATATGATTTGTTTGTTTGTTTGTTTGTTGTTAAATGCCGCACTCAGCAATATTCCAACTATATGACGGCGGTCTGTTAAATAATCCAGTCTGGACCCGACAATCCAGTGATTGACATCATGAGCATCGATCCATGCAATTGGGATCGATGACATGTCTCAACCAAGTCAGCGAGCATGACCACCTGATCCCGTTAGTCGCCTTTTACGACAAGCATAGTCGCCCTTTTATGGCAAGCATGGGTTGCTGAAGACCTATTCTACCCCAGAATCTTCACGGGTTTGAGACTTTGAGGTTATAAGAACACATTGTCACAAATAATTGAAGATGACATCATCCATTGTTAATGACAATTTTATGTGATGTCATTTGAAAATACTAAGCTGATGTGTCCATTTGAGATAAGGAAACCCATATTTTTCTACATTTGCTCAGATTTGCTCCTAGAACTTAAAAAAATCAATTCACTCGGGAAAAACAATCCATAATTCCTCATCGCTTGTAGGATATTCTCTAATAGTGCAACAGCACTTTAGCTCACTTAGACGTGAAGTCAACAGCTTTAAATGTCAACAAGCAACAAGCATTGCTAACGTTCAATTACCGGTAGTAACAACCAGCCTTCTCGTTTTACCACAGGCCACAGTATGACGTGCATGAATACATAAGCCACTTGCCAAGAGCTCAGGTAGTTACATCATTCCTTCACTGTTGACTCATAATCCACAACTCCTCAAAGCTCATTTCTTAAACAGTACAACAGCAAGCTTTTCATCAAAGTTATAATGTTGGGTATTTTTACCTAAATCACTGGAAAATATTTGGAGCAAAGCAGGCACAGGTGATTCTTATTCTGTGATTATTTTATGAGAAAACAGCAATGATTGTGACATTGATCACTGCATATACAAAATGCCTAGCATAATGGGAAATACAATTATAATTGTATACATTGTTTATCATCGCAATTTATCTCAAGATAAACACTAACAATGATGTTTTGAACATATCTGTAATCTCCTTCCTTCAGCCAAAACTTCACATGAAGCAAAACAATGTAATTTTCTACTGAACATTTTATACAATAATTATTGTTCCCTCAAACCTGAATGGGCTTGTATATTATACTCAGGTGCGTTTTGCACACAAGAGACTATGAAGGTGCAAGTTGAACGACCACTGCAGTTATTTTCTACCATGACTTACACTAGTCACTTGATGCTGATGCAGGACATTACGGACGAAGCTGTATCTCTGTACATAGAGCTGTGGAACAAACTTAGGGCCTCCGTCATTTTCTGCTGTCTCTGACACATCACTGACTTCAAGCCCGTTGCCATGGCTGCAGGGCTGGCTCTCTCTGGCATCTGTTGTCATGACACTCACTTGCAAGTGCTTCAGTCATTCTTCAAAGGAGGCTGAAATGAGGGGGCTATGTTTCACTTACTTGAGAAAATGTGTTTGTTGGTTGTTTATGCTCCACTCAGCATTATTCCATATCACAGTGGTCAGTAAATAACCAAGTCGGAACCAGACCAGTGATTGATACCCTGAGCAATGCTCCACTCTGTCAGGGTACACTGACACACTCAACAGTCACCGAGCCTCCCCACCAGATCCACGAATTTCCCTCTTACGACAAGCGGATCCCTGTGGGGATATTCATTTTTAACAAGAGAAAATTAGAACTCCAATGATTTAGTTCTGATGGATCTGTACAAAGTTCACGAAGTACAAATACTTTAATGTCTCGGTTGGCTGAAAGTGCAAGCTTAACCCCCATGGTGCCTGTCTGTCAGCTGGGTTTGCGTTCTGCTCGACCCGTGAAGATCCGGGGTAGAATAGGTCCTCAGCAACCCATGCTTCCCATAAAAGGTGACTATGCTTGTCGTAAGAGGCAACTAACGGGATTGGGTGGTCAGACTAGCTGACTTGGTTGATGCATGTCATCGATCCCAATTGCGTGGAGCGATGTTCATGATATCAATAACTGGACAGTCTGGTCCAGACTTGATTATTTACAGACCGCCGTCATATAGCTGGAATATTGCTGAGTGTGGCGTTAAACAAACAAACCATACTGCTCGGGGCTGCACTTTGAAGATGTCGCAGGTTCAAAAACGTATACACTGTATCAAAAGTGTTACAAAGTTCTAACTTCTTCACACAGTGTAACCGAATTGTATAACATGCAACTCGAGTTGATCGTCTTTCGAACAGTATCTAAAGTCAACAAATCCAAAAGGTATATGCACTGCCTAGCCATCGATAAAAGTGCTTGTATTGTAAGTTTTCTACATTAATCGTAATATGGAAGCACCTGAATGTGCCAAGTAAAGTCAAGTAACTGCCCTTGTTTGAAACCTAAATGTCCAATAATTCATACAATTGGAAAGTATACATCCTAACGGTGATAGACATATCACTTTTATGTCGCAGTACATATTCACTGAGAATTTTCCGCGATTTATATTTACCGATAAAAAATCCCGATGAAATTGGCAGTGTTTTTGACATCAAAACAAAATTGATGGAAGTGGTCGTGATTAGTTCAGATGCAGACTGTGTCACGGATCATGTTACCATACCAATGCCAGTTTGGAATGTATATCTTGAAAGAAATTCCGGTTACGTCCATGTAGGTTTCAGTGTCCATGCTCTTTCATTAGTGAAAAAAACAACTTCAGGGTAATTGACTTTAAACATTTCCAAAGGATAAAAGATCTCTAAACAGTCATAACAATACTCAAATTGAAATCGCTCAATATCGGACATCATTATTATTTTTTAATAATTAACAAGATTATAATAATGTATTACCACCCAAGAGTAAATACACATAGATTCAATCAAAATCGTTGAAATGTTTCCGTGGGCAGCAAATCTATTCAACAAACCTATTTTCGATCACTCGTAACTTGGGCGCTGAATGTCATGCAAGCAGTGTGCTATCACACAGACCGCTTTTTTATACTTTGGGTGTTATGATCTGTTGTAAATGGTTTAAATTTAACTTATAAAACTCTTGAAACGAGATGTAATTTGATAATTTAAAAACTTTAATACTACTTTGAAAGCTCAAGAAACGTAGAGTAGGCTATTTTTAATACAAGGAAACGAAACTTGCACCGGTGAAAGAAAGCAAAATTATTGTTTTTATGGCACGATTACAAATAATATCTAGATTAAGTGAAAGAGAAAATTACGAAAATATGAATTACTTTTAATTAAAGTAGTGTTCGATGTATATACAGTTCATGTGTTCAAAACTCTGAACAAATTTGTTTTTCTATGACCACTAGAAAACATACATCCTTGTCTCAGCTTGTATTTTGCACTTGGCTGCCTCATTTAGACCTTTGCTCAAAAAATACTTGCATGGACAGTCCATGAAATTCAACATTTTCTTTCATATTGTTTCATTAATACGACTTTAGAACTGTATTTACACCTGGGTATGTACATGCACCTTCAAAGACATTCGTGATAGTTTATTTCCAGAACAGTTTCCATTTCATCCAATTCTACAAAAAGAAAAGTTTGAAATAGATAATGATCGTAGGTCAATGAAAGTAACGGAATTATTTGTCATAAAAGGAAAAATATATTCTTGGTATTGAACTTTGAAAATATAACCAGGAAAATCTTTAATATATATGGTTTTCTGTTACTATGTCTTTCCTTTCTTCTTTTGGCCTAGCTAAACTTCTCAGGGAACTAATGTTTGAATCTGGAGGTAATGGACTATGTCATTTGAAACAGACGCCTTCTCCCAGACATATTTGTTCCGGCTCGTTACAGTCTGACTGTTGCAGTTCTTCTCGCCTCTTTCCTTGATTGACAGGTCCAATGAACTTTGTTTTTAATCCTACTCTCGGTTTTTCGATTCATACCTCAATGAACCGACTGTATTTCACCTTTCTTTATGTACACATTTTGTACCCTAACTCGGCAATATATATACGCGACTGTCTGTTTTCACTAACAGGTTTCAGTTTGGAAGTAAACATGCTGCAAGTGTGAAGTTTCCCTTATTTGATACCCTACAAGGTAAATCCTCATCACTGCCGTTTCTAATGCGACTCTAGGCTTGTGTACATTTGCGTACATGGAGTTAGTGCATTGCCAATGAACAGCACTTACATTAGTTACAAGTTAAGATCAGTTTAGATTGGAGATAAGGAGACAAGCTGTTACTGGACGATTTATTCAGATAAATGCAATGACAAGTGTTATTTGGATTACCAGCTGTTCACTTTTATCATTATACGAACCAGTAAAATACTGAGCGGTCAAAAACAAACATCATTCCCATTAACTTTCGCCGACAGTACCCACGAACATATTTCACGCCGTATTCCAATGGGGAAGTAACTGTGGATCAAGGGGGGTAAGAATGTTTACTTCCGGTTGAAAATTGATATTTTCAGAATTTTAATTGGAGCCGAGGGAAGGGATATTCTGTGTAATGCAGGTAGATATTATTTGTTTTTTCAATGCATTGCGTTTCTTTTGTTGATATGTTGTGCAGGTAATGTGTTTGGCTGTATACATTAAGCATCATATGCACACTCATTGGAATAGCGCCAAACAGATGCGCTGGAGCCTGGGGGTTTGACTCGGATTTGACAGCTGTCAAGTTTGACAGCACTTTGAAATGGCGCATCTTTGAAAAGATCAAACTGGTTCTTCTTTTCGCTATACACCTATTTTCCTCAATCAAAGGTAAAGGCTTGTAAACGCGTGCACAATTAACCAGTAACAACATTTAATTTTCATGAAATAGCTTTTCAACAGAAATATATTTTGGTAAAATTGATTATATCTAAGATTTTATAGCTTCGTGAATTGTCACTGTTTTTGGTGGGAGCGGGAAGTTACTTCATTTATAACTTTTGATTTGTGTGTACTACTGTATTCAATATACACATTGTCCTATGCATGAACTTGACTAGGTAATCAACTGTATGATCTGTAGCCTGTGTGCATGTCATACTAAATTGACAGATTTTCTACGAAAAAGAATTAAACTCACACAGTGTTTTTCCTGTGATTTTTACTTTTACATCACAAGAAATTAGGGCCGAGTCCAAATTTACTACCCGGGTACCCGCCCCCCTATTACCCTACCCTACCCGGGTACCCACTGTAGGTCTCAGGAGATGTCTCAAACTGTCCGTTTGGTAATTTTTTTGTAGCATAGCCCTGGCAAAACGTATTTAGATACATGTATTAATAATCTGGCCATGCATACACTGAAGTTGACTAGGTTATATCTTTATTCCACCATATCGGGCGGAATGGGTGCATAGTCAGAAAGAAAAGCGAACATTAATGACTTGTAGTGTAACCATAGAGTTCTAGGTAATTTTAGTCATTTGACAATATATCACGTGACTAACCACGGGTCCGGGTAGTCCTGTGGGTACCCGGGACCTACTCAGTACCCACCCGACCTGGGTACCCGAGTTACCCGTCCCAGCCCTACAAGAAATACAGGACATTACTACCATGACTACAGTATGCTTGGTTGGTTAGTTTGATTTTCATAAACTAAAATAAGATAGAGATAAGGACCCAAACTAAATTATGTGAAGCTTGTGCAGACACCTGATTTAGCTTTATCAGTCAGCATTGAATTGCTTTAAAATAAACCTGTATTTGACAGCAGCCAGGCTGACTTGAATGTCGACAGTTCTTTTCACTCTATTTGCTTCATTTTGACTGTGCCTGTGTATGCTGTGTGTTGCCCATATCAATAGGTTCCACTGTTGCTGACACTGGCATGGGTTTTTTCAAGACAGTAAATAGCTAATCAGAATAAGATAGCTAGATTCTTGAACAAGTAGAGTAGTGTCGGTATGATCGAACAATTGACATGTGTAATTCTTTGCCTACATCAATGCAATACTGCATAGATTAGTCATCATTGTCAGTAATATATTCAACTTAACATGCTTAAGATGCATTAGTCACTTAGTGTACAAACTTGAATTAATTATGCAGATAAAGGACAATTAAGTAAATAAAAACCTTTCACACATTGTATCATTGTCTGAGTGTGATGTTTGTGTAACTTCAACATGTTTAATTCTATATGCACAAATTTTCACTCATGGCACTGTCATATCTCGTATGATGTATTTAATTGATGGTCGTGCAAACATTTTGACTCATTTCAATGTTAGTCAGTTTTTTCTTCATTTATCAAATCAGTGCTCTCAAACATTGTTACATATATGAAGTTTACAATTAGGTTTATTCACATGATTTTTAGTGTAGTAGACGTGAACCATGAGACATGTTTGAAGGGTCATAAATAACTAATGTCATGAGTGGACATTCTCCACTGCATTTGTGTTCAAATGTTTTATTTATGGTGGAAATTGCTTCCTGGCTGGACGTATTAAACATTTGTCCAATCGATTTTTCACTCTCTCAGAATGAGATTAATTGTGTTGTGCTCATTTGTCATCTTCCCGGGGCAAGGGAGTTAACTGACTTTTATAGTCCAATTTCCACCCTTGCGGAACAAGGCTGGAATTTCTGGGCTCGAACGTAGCGCCACCAGTGGTTAATATGAGTTATTACTTGCCCGTGAAGAGATCACCCGTTTAATAAACATACAGCTTTATTACACATTGTGTAATACCAAAACGCGTGCTTATGTGCCCTCGGAACACGTTTCACGAACAAATATTGAAAGCTCTAAACATCCCTTGGCTTATTCAACGACATTGCGTGTGGAGTTGATAGATCACTGAGAGGAGCTTATGCACACTCGATGACCCCAGCAACCTTGTTGCTAGGCTGACGTCACATGGCATTGTTTCGCCGATGGATCTTGCATCAAAATTCCACAAATTACGTCATCGGGTATTGTGACGTTATTGAAAACTTTGAGGTGCAAGGCCCGTTCCACAAGGCGATCGTATTGTAGCCCAACGACAGTCGTTGGTCTAAGTTAAAGTATGTGAGATGCGAAAGTCTTAGCCCTACGATAATTTTGTGAATTCTAAAGGTAGACCCGTTGTATGGTATGAAATTCATACGTTTCAACTTTTGACGTGTTTGAAGTATTATTCTGTTAAACTCAATTGGACTATGTCGTGGATCATGTAGGTGTCAGCCTATTCATACTCAACAGTATAATTCAAAAAAAGTTATAAATTGCAAGTAATAAATAAAATACTGAACTCGCTCCCGTGTAAAACCAATTTTATGAAACTCGTGAATAGTTGTATCTGACTCGCTTTCGCTCGTCAGATACCACAACTATTCACTCGTTTCATAAAATTGGTATTACACGGGAGCTCGTTTAGTATTCTATATTTATGTCCCTTCTAAGCCCCTCCCCAATGGGCCAATCAGATTCCACCTCTCATATCACTTGATTTGTTTAAAAAAACCCGGCAGCCCTGTCTTGATGATCTGATCGATAATCAAGATCTATATTGTTATAAAACATCACAATGTGCATCATATCACGTTGATCAAAAACATGAAAAGACGTGGAAAATATCTGTTGACAATGAGTTGGCGGTGCACATGCTTTGCAAATGCTGCAATTGACCGAAATCTGCACGACATTTCACAAACTGGAATTTGATTAGGTTATGCGATTTTGATTGGACTAAGCATAGACTTGTTAGTCCCGCCAAAATGTAACTCCATAATACCAGCCTAGTTCGGCAAGGGTGGAAACTAGACTTTTATAGTCAGTAAACGCTTTTGCCTCAGGAAGATGCTCATTTGTTTGAATACTTTATATATAGAATATCAAATGTGAAATTGAGAGATGAAATCGACTAGGGCGCTGTCATTTTAATATTACATTAATAAGTGAGGGATCAGTTTAAAATAAGGTTGGGGATATATTTTGTAGTGAACACTCAGCGCACAATTTCATGAAAATATCCCCAGAAATATTCATGATCCCCAACTTTTTAGGGTTGGCTTACATGACCAACAAGGTGCCCATTGGATGGTGGTGTGGACAATTAAAGGGAAGGCACTCCTATCAATTTCATGAATTAAGATTAGCTCCCCTTGGTTATACATCAGGTCAGGGATGTATTGCAACAGCTTGTTGACATCTGCTAGCTAACATCTTCCGGATTATACGCTTCGTAACGTAAATATGAAGTCGTTCACATGACTCCATATTTATGACTTTGCAGTCTTCCTGGTCTTGGAGATTTGGATATCATAGAAACAGTAGGTTGTTGTGACATATTCCCTGGTGACAAACATTATTTTATGGAATCTGTTTTGAAACATAGGCATTATTCCTGTTAAACATGTTGTCTGACATAACATAATACAGCTCTATATTTATTTCCTTGTAATCTTTGAAAATACAGGGCCTAGATCTATAACATACGGTAACCTATGAATAACCCTGTAAAGTAATATTTTTCTGCTATTCCGTTCTTCAAAACCTTCCAAATGGCATGCTGGTTTTTGTTGGGAATTAGTCGCAAAGAGCCAGAGTGACAAGAGACTAATTACAATTTTGATTACGAGAACAGAATGAACAATATCTTGGATATAGCTGAGGGTGCCACAGAGAGTCAGTACAACCCTCTGGGCTATGGGTGAGAGGTCAAACCCCAACGGCCTAACATATTGCTTCTGTATGTATTTAGCTAAAATTAGAACAACAAAAGGAAAATGATTGGCTGTTGATGCAAAATGGAGTGTGCCCTATGGTTAATGAATGGCTAGAGGGAGGGGAATACTTAATCCTGTAGGACTGGAACTAATCTTGTTGACACATGCTTGGGTGCTTGGAAAGAGATCACGATATCACAATAGGCGAGCTTGTATGGGGGCTAAACCTTAATAAGTCTAAATTGAAGTATTAGCTCAATGCTATTCTAATATAGGTGATGACAGGTTTACTTAAATAAAATAGTTCAAGGCAACATATTAAGCTATGTTTAATTGAATAGTATGTCTGAGGGATGGGTTCTTGTTACCTTAGGTTAGTATTTATCTATATGCTATAACTGAAACTAATATTTTGTATCTGCATTTTCCCTGGATCCTTATATATATTACTTGCTGTTCTATAATCATATGGGGGGCACAGGTGACCCAGTCTTCTAAGGAGCCGCGATTTGCTGTGCTGAGTTGTGTCCCTTGGGCAAGCCAGAAACCTATGATTGTGGGTTCGAATCCCGGTTCGCCCCGATTATGTTTCTAGGTTTGTCAGCACCATACCTGGACTCATGGGTTTCACCGAAGTGGTAAATGTCTGAGACCTGCATCACTTCGTGCTTTCTTCCCGCATTAAGCTGACACGACTCGATATAACTGGAATACTGTTAATAAAAGCGGTGTTAAACCCAACTCACTCACTCACTCACTATTATCATATGAAAATTTGTATAAATGTTACATCATGATAACTTATAAAAGCACTTACTGTGGATCTAATTATGACATGAAAACTTTGCTGAATTTCTGAATCAGGTGTTGTATTTAACAGTTTACTATAACACAGCTCTGCTATCAATTGCAAAGAACGAAAAGAACGAGGAGTGGTTTATTTCACAACAAACCTTGTTCTATCATGATGTCATATCTGGAGATTCGAGCATGCCCTCAAAAGTTAATGATGTCTTAAATTGGATGACAATATTTTTGAGAGGGAAGTGTCCAGTGAGTTTTTCCCCATAGATGCAATGCAGATGAACGCAATTAATGGCCGAATGGTAGCATCCAAAAGTTTGGAGAGATATGACAGTTGGTATTTTGAGTATATCTAGGAAATACCAGACTTAAGCCCCTGTTCTGCATGTTCATAAAATGAACTTGTCCGACATTGCCAAGGTCACATTGTATTCAGGAAGTCATCATTAATTTATTTATATATGGGTGAATATTTTTAGAGCTTGTACATATATTTAACATCCTTAAAGAGCCTGAACATGAGGCTCTAATGATATTTTTTAATTGACATATTGACTGTTAATTCTATGAATGTAAAGCCATGCAATGCATGTCATTTGTGCCCATTCTCAATTATAATAAAACATGTTTTGCATCCAGATAATCCATACTCCTGACCATGCTGACAATCCTGAATTAGGTGTTCTTGAAGCTAGCTTGCGCTGTCAGAATCTTTGAACATTCTCTTCATTCTGTCAACAGAAATAACCAACTGGTAACTCAAATGAATTGAAGTCACACAAACCTTTGGTACCATGTCGATCGAACTACATGAAATCGGGGCCTCTGCGTCCACCTCTCCCAATCAACAGCAAGCAGAGCTGAAGTCACGGTCCAGTGCCTGGCAACGTCTTCAGAAGCGACTCAAGCGTAAAGGGGTAGTTGAGGTAGACATCGATCACCATCGCTATGACATGCTCAACTGCATCCGGACCGGCATCAGACATGTGCTGCTCAACCATCCAGAACTGGGACCAAAGGTGAGACCAATTTCAACCTTTTTACCGCACCATGACCAAAACGCCAAGTGAGTAGACATGCTTATGATATGGCAAGTTGTCTGTTTGTCCATACGGTAGCCTAGTGGTGAAGAGTTTGCTCAGTACGCCTGATGTTTGGGTTCAAGTCCCACATTGGTACAATGTGTGAAGCCCATTTTTGGTGCCCGCAACCGCGATATTGTAAGATTATTGCTAAAGTGGTGTAAAACCAAACTCATTGGCTCTACTGGTCAATGACATGAAGGGATGCAATGATACTGGCTGTCACAATATGATACATATCTCCATATTCAGGTCACAATACGATACATATCTCGATATTCTGGCGACAATACGATACATGTCTCAATACTCAATGATACAAAAACAAACAGAAACAGATCACCATACTCCAGATTTTATTAAGTTTCAAGACTTCAAGCATGTCAAGATTGGACCTTTCATGATTTTGGATCAGTCAAAATTCATTTATAATAACAAGACTACTGAAATTGTAAAGCTTCAAACTTCCCTAACTTTCCTTCAAAACACTTCAAATTTCAAAACAGCAGAACACTTCAAAGTTCAAACACCAGAAAATAATCAATGTACTTTACTGTCTGAATAGTTCAACTTCAGGTTCTTTTTCAGAAAAATTGAAATGTCAACATCGTCAGGGGACAGTGATGCCCTTTGGACATATAAAAGTCAAATTGCCACATGTATGACTTAATGAGTCAAAGTATGGCATTCATTATATATGTATCTGTTCTCTGGCTGACAACTAAAGTTTGTTTCAAGGCATCAGTAGCCGTAGTGTGACTGTGGTTGGTAGTATAATAATTGGATTAAATTGCGTGCTTCAGTTCGGATTTGTTGCCTGGTATTTGCGGTGTTACGTGATCAGCGGATGATGTTTTTCGAGAAGGGGAAAATATTGAGTCCACATGCTTTAACCAAGTTAGCGCTATATTGAATTGTGCAATAGCGAGGGAACACTGTACTTAAGATTTGCGTTCGATATCGTGACGTATCGATAAATAGGCCCATGTGTATCGTATCTTGGGTCAAATATTTCAATGCATCAGAATATCGGTGTATCGTTTCACCCTTAATGTTCATGGCATTAAATGTGTTTACATCAACAATAGTTCCTTTAGAAAAAAGTTTCAGTCATGGAAGTTTTGACAAATCATTTTGGAAAGTCATCTTCTCAGAAAGCACAAGGTCTAGGAAGTCATTTGTTAATGTTATGATGGAATCCCAGTTCATCCTGATTCTGTTTTTAGGTTTGCCAGCACCATGCCCGTGGCATTTCTCCAAAGTGGTAAATGTTTGAGATTTGCATCACTTTTGGCTTTTGTCCCACTTTGAGGTTTGACGCCACTGGAATACTGTTCAAAGGGGTGTTTACCCAACTCACTCACTCACTGCACTCATGTTGTGATGAGATGCAATAACACACAGTGTTTCCAGTGGCACTTTTGACTGCCGGTGATGTGGACTGGTACCAAAGGAAACTAGCTGCCCTGACTAAAAATTACCGGTCCCATCATCGTCAGTGGTTATCTCTGTGATGTCATTATCTTGTCAACCAATCACAGATCACATATAAAAAAATCCAAATTAAAACATCGGTATCGCAGTGACTAGGATGTCTTTCATTATTGGCTGGGATTGTGCACTATTTTCAGAACTGGGATTTCCAATAGTAAAAATTGACCATGTTGACATGCCAAGTTTTGAAAGAGAGTGATTAATGTTTACAGCGATTCAAAGGATATGATCTGTATTTTTCAATTGAAATTTCCCGGACATAGGGACTGTCAACCCTCAAATTTAATGGTCCAAGTCATATTTTACCTGTCAATATCTGGTATATATCGAAGAACGGAAATACCGACAGAGGGGGACTCAGATGTGTTCATGGTGTGATGAGATTCAACTCTGTGGGACTCAGATGTGTTCATGGTATGATGTGATGCAACTCTGTGGGACTCAGATGTGTTCATGGTGTGATGAGATGCAACTCTGTGGGACTCAGATGTGTTCATGGTGTGATGAGATGCAACTCTGTGGGACTCAGATGTGTTCATGGTGTGATGAGATGCAACTCTGTGGGACTCAGATGTGTTCATGGTGTGATGAGATGCAACTCTGTGGGACTCAGATGTGTTCATGGTGTGATGAGATGCAACTCTGTGGGACTCAGATGTGTTCATGGTGTGATGAGATGCAACTCTGTGGGACTCAGATGTGTTCATGGTGTGATGTGATGCAACTCTGTGGGACTCAAATGTGTTCATGGTGTGATGTGATGCAACTCTGTGGGACTCAGATGTGTCATGTCAGGAAAAGAAAATTAGAGAAAAATATAAACTGATCCTATCTCACACTGTGCATTTCATCCTTCTTCTTCGATCCTGGGGTGAAAACGATCCTTGGGTGAAAACGATCCTTGAAGATGTAGCCAGCTTCAAAACACATCCCAGCCCAAACCATGGCTACCATCACTAACACTAACACTAACACTGACGTCCCAAGCTTACTCATTCTCTTTCTTATCGCCCTCGTGTGGAGACGTTCTTTTATTTGAGGAGAATTATGTTTTTATTTTTTTATTTCTGTGAACTCAGCTGAGTGCGTGATCATGGATAATCAGAAACCTAAAGTGTGTAATAATAGTAGACAGACTTTTTCAGTACATGACCCACACTTAGATTTCTGTGACCGTCGTGGTTGGTGTACTGACTCTAAGAGACGCAGCAAGTGCACAGATTTATGTACGGCTGACTTCACTTCATATATGGTCCGTCAGTGGCTAAGAAACCCCAAAAGACCACACTTAAAGCAGTTGTTCAAAAGCGTCTAATTTACAACCTTGAAACAGTATTCTATCATGCCAGCACTTGTCTCAGACTTAGAGGATGATGAGGCATTCAACTCCTTCCTTACAGCCGACCTATCTCGGCCCTTGTCTAACGAAACCCATTCTATTGTCGTTGTGCCTGCAATAACAACTATGATTCAATCCACTGAAGATTGTCACCAGGTTGAACACATGGATTCGTCCCAATTGACAGCTGTGCTCCCTGCATCAGAAATTCGGATAGAGGATCGGTCAAGGTGTTGTGAAGATTTAGAGGGGGGTTTCCTGGAGGTTGGTTGAGAGTCGGCATTCATCACTATCCTCGACTTAAGAAGAATGTCAAAGCTATGATCGTTTGCATCGGGATAGAGATCAGCATTCTCCCCCTTCAGTCAGTTCAGAGGATCAGAGAATCCTGGGCAAGGATTGGGATTGTCGTAGCCCTATACGATTGTCTGAAGATCGGAGACATCGTGACAGCCATGATTTGGATTGTCGTATCCCATCTCTATCTTCTTCTCAAGAGGATCAAAGACATTCGAATAGCCAGGATCAGGATTGACGTGCGTTTAACAATCATTCGAACCTAGAAGATTGTCGTAGATACGACAGTCAGGATCGGGATCGGCTCACCCCCTCCATCAACATACCCCCAGGATCGGAGAAGTTTTGACAGCCCTGGTCGGGATAGACATCCACCTTATCAGTCTTCATCCTATTTATGGCAGATGGGATGACAGTCAAGATCGGGATCAGGACTGTGCATATTATCATTCCAATGAGTATTGTATAGGGCATCACGATCGGAGGGTGGGATCAGCAGCATCGGCTTGCCTTACCTACATCATGGGATCATCGGACTCAATCCTCAGTGTTTTCTCAGTTGGATATTCCAGCTTTAGTACAAGCCATGAGTGAGTGAGATGAGTGAGGCTTGCATTAGGACAAGCCACAGACACGCTCAGATGGTGATGAGCCTAGACCGACCACACAACCTTGTGTATTGGAGGACAACACAGATCAGACTGTACACAACTCTGTAACCTATGATCAAGCCATCTCCCCTATCGACAGCCTTGACAGTGTAGATCAGGCAGATATGCTAACTTGGATTGCTGACAACTTAGGCCTTCAAAGTGATCTTATTGATGATCATCGTCGATCCTGTTTCTTAATGTCGCGTTGAAACACAGATACATTTACCTTTCCTCTGAAGTCGGTCATCTTTGACCTAAACAAAAACTTAGACACAGCTTTGATTGGGTTTGATCACTGAATTTGTGTGCTGGCAATTAGATGCCTCATTCTGGCAATGTGGCTTGAAATCCCGGATGGGACTCTAAAAAGTACTAAAATCTGTACTTTACTAAGAAAGTGTGATCCCAAATACAACATTTGTTACATTTGACCAAGCCATGGAATGGCATGGACTCCATTGCCACTTCCCATGACCTTGACAGGGTGGTAATGAACCTACTCTCACATTGCTTTGGCCACATCACCTCGATACCAGGAAAGGTATTTTGCAATCCTGTCCTTGAGAGGACCAGTTCAGCTCAAGAGGTCACCAAGGATTCGCAACTACAGATATCTGTTGATCTTCTAAGGTTACAGCGCCAACAGTTTGAAAACACAGTGAGAGACAGAAGTCGCAATTCACTCCACTGCACTCAGACTTACATGAAGCATATCAGCAAAGAAGGGTTCATTTTTAGGCAGATGACAACAGGGATAAGGCATTACAAGTCCCAACTATACCCTGGCCTGAATGGTCACTTTCAACCAGAACAGGGACAGAGGAGAATCAGAGAGGAATGCCGACTCCTCCACTAAATGACTCAGTAACAGCGTGGTCTGACTGGGACTTTCTGCCCTAGTTGTACCCTATGTCCCACACCAGTAGGTGGAAAAGTTGGACTTTTTGCAGCCAACTGGATGTTTTGGAGAGATCCTTTCTTTACAACACTCCTAAATGAGGGCTGCAGGCTCCCCTTTTAAAGATACCTTTGGGGACGATGATCCTGCTGCAAAGAGATTATGCTGCCTGTCATGTTCCCGCTCTACAAGAGTTTATCAGTACACTATTAGACAGAATCACTCACTCAATTTAGGGGACACCAACTACAAGTAT